TGTTTTCGTTATTGAGCTATTTTTTATAAGAAAAAGATTTAGGTCAATTAACTTGGATACCCTTTTGCCCAGTACGACTTCTAAATGTTACTGATACTGCCATCTATGAATAGCCCTAGTAAATTGTGATAAACATTTTCAAGAGAAAACTCGTATGATTTTCCACATTTTCGATCACAATTTTCTTCGTGCGTGACTTCTGATTAAAGAGTAATATTATGATTTTTTTAAAATATATTTGAAATGTTGCTATTGGAAATCATTAATTGATGAAAAAATTTTGAAATAATATTTTATAAAATAAATGGACAAAAGTACTCATGACATAATAACAAATAGTAAAAATGCCAACTAGTGAAGGCGTATATACATCTGCAAAACTCTCAATGCTATGCATCCTAAACCACAGTCAATGTAGGCCTGATGAAGATAACGCCAAGCATCTTTGAATTACGACCTGGACCCAGCAATAATACATTCTGGCAAACATTCATTTTCGTATACACAATTTTATGTCGTTCTTAGCTGGACTAAGCGTTTTCGAGCGATGTCATTTAGTATTTTAGTGATGTGTCCACATGAAACGATCTGTTACCGCAACAAATCGAAGGTCTATTTCAGAGAGAGAGTTTTACTTGTTGTACACTAAGATAGAAATTTACTGTGGACAAGTAATACTTTTTTCAATTATTAAAATCATAATTTTCAATAAAAGCAATAAAATAATATAACATTTTTATTCTATTACTTTTCTATTTCAAAAAAAAATCTTAGAAACTCCAAAAATGATTTTTGGTAATAATCATTGATCTTAATCCTTGAATTATATTACTATTTATTTTTAATATTGTTTAAAATATATTTAATTATTATTTAAAGAAATTAAAATACACACTGACATAACAATTGAAGAAATGCATTTTTATTGCGCTCCATTATTTTGGATACAATTATCTGAGTATTGGTTTATTTTAATGTTTTATTCAATTGATCATTTTTTTTTTGGATCCATGGTGTCTCAGGAAGTAAGAATTAATTGAATTTTACTTGCATTAAAACTCATTAAATGAACATTTTTTGTAGAGTGCAATTTTTTTTCTCAATGTAATATTTATATGATGAGAGAAATGTTAGATCAGATAAAATGATGGAAATTTTTTATCCGAATGAAAATAAAATGAAAAACTTTCGATATACTAGAGAGATTGAAAAGTTAGTCGAGTCAGAAGAAATCATAATATCCGAATGTGTCAGTGTATATACTTATAAGTATTTATACATACATTCGCGAAGAGCCGCTTCATCTCCACTCGTCCGAGTCTCATATAATTGCTGGCATCCATAACGCTGATGTATTTATGGCATTAACTCGCCTCTTTCTCGTACGGTGTGCCGCCCCCGACCCAGCCCGAGCCGTCATGCAACCACAAGTAGAAATAATTGGTTGAAAACAGCGAGCTCTCGGGCGGTAATATATCCAGCTTACTCCCTGCTGTCGCATCGCTTAGATCACTTCCCCGCTTGTACCCGAAAACTCGCCAGCAAAGCTCATCCTTTGGATATGAGACCTACCTCCGTGTGCCAGCTAAAGTGTCTCTCTTATCCCACATCCATTTCCTCGTCTCACGTCTCCTACATCTGCAATCGCAACGAGTCTCAACATCATTCTGATTCGAATGCCACTTATTTATGAAAATTAAATTGAATGCCCCTTATTTATGGAAGCAATTGATGTCTGTCGCGAATTCTCCAACTAAAGTGTATCCTCTATTATCTTATCGTAAAGATTAAAGTCAATAATTATTCTTTCATCAATTTTAATTAAAAATTCACTACAAGTTTTCTGGGAGAAGAAATACTTAAGGAATTTATCAGACTAAATCTACCTTAAACATATCCAACATTTTATTTCCGCTCTCATAAGTTCTTATCGATTAGCCATTTAAATAAAATACAATGCACACCATATTATTTTATATATTATTAGAAATTATTCAGCAATAAAGTATTATACTTAAGTGTTTTTGGCTTTTTTATTTTTCATCTTTTTTCCAAGTTTCCGGCATTCCAACGATCTTGTTGAGCGGCTATCCGATTACTTAGCTACATGGGCGATCAAAGGGACGATGCGAATTTCCGCACTGTCTCAAGTCACGCACTTGTATTGCGATTTTAGTGCTCTCTATGCTATCCTTTCTGGTTTAGCAAGCTTCGTGAAAATTTTATCTATCAAGTGAATTTTAATTACATTTATACCAAAATCCTCCATTTTACATTCTCTAAATAAAAATTCAAAATTTATATAATTATTAATATGACCGTTTCTCAAAATAATTTACACCAACTCTTAATATTATTCTTTCTCGTTTTTAAGTTGTAAAAGATTTCATTAACTGCTGTGTTATTATGAGATACAATAAAAAATAAATAATCAATGTCACTTTATATCACATTTTACATGAATTTTCCATCATCATTAAAAAATATTTATTCCTTAAAAGCATGTTAATTTTTATTTATGTAATAATATAGTAAAAGTTGTAAAACGAATATGTATCAAAAATGTTAACAAATTTGATAATTAAATGATTGAAAATATTTGAGAGGATATTCTTTTATTGTGTGACTGTGTACAGACACATACATAATGACATAAATCAAAGATAAAAATAATATAAATGAAATGAAGGTACAATAATAATTTTCAATCACAAATATACATGTGGTCATACGGCATTGAAAAGCATCCCTTTATGCCAAGTGACTTGAGAATCAGTAACTGCATTCGATAAAGCTACAACTGTAGAGTTGCTTCTCGATAAATTTAATTGGCCAGACAGCCAGTTAATAATCGAGCGAAATGGCTGCGATAAGACGTTTTCCATCCAATATGTATATGGCCACGTCTTTTATATATTATATTATATACTCGATATAGTGAAAAGGACGATGGAAGACAAGTTGAACATCATGTGGATGATGGACCAAGAATTGCAATGACCTGTCCTGATGTTAAAGCAAAGTAACCGAGTCCTTTTCATATCCCTCGGGTCTTCTCTTGGAACATATAAGAGAATGAAACAGAGCGCTTTTGCTGGAGATATGCAAACGTCTTGTGACTCGACACTTGAACATAATTCACGCGCACATATAGAAGCACACACTGTGGCAGTCGGTGAGGACACTATAAACCTCGATACCGGGTGAATAAAATGCCGGATTTACAGTCCTGATACCAAGCAAGACGGTCCTGTCCTGTTTGTCGCTGTCGCACCACGGTGTGGGTTGGCTCATCAGTGATGGCCACGTCCAGCAGTATCTTTTCGTGCAGTATTACGAGCCCTGGAACATATACGCCAACTCTGCACCAACTCAGAGAACCAGCCAACAAACGTTCGAGAAGACCATGAAGCAAGAAAAATACTATAGACTCTTATCAATTTCCCTGCTTTGCGACAACACCCCCGTACTCTTATAATCCACACCAGTCGTGTTCGATATCATTTGAGGACCTCCAATAACCTATACTGACAATTCCGATACGGGTTGTCTCTTTACACCCACATTCATTGCGTCTTTGCATCTTCACAGGTGTGCCTATAAAAATTTCATGATCAATTTCATTTATAAATAATAACATACCAAAAATTCCATCTTTCAAATACATATAGTCCAAGTGCTTTTAGCTTTTATTCTTTGTATTATTATTAATATAAACTAAACATAAAGTTGACTTTCATATAAGAGACACTAATAAATGACAATTGTTTGAATTTATTTATAAACGTGTCAAGATATTTACAAATGTATTTAAGAATAATATAAGCATGTTTGAGAAAAGATAAATAGATGATATAAAAGATGCTGGTTAGCTGCCGTAGTAGATACCGTGCGGCGAGTAGTCATCTGTACGAGGACATCTTCTTCGTGTATCATAAATAAACAGATGTCCAAGATCTCTCTGTGTCGTAGCCTCTGAACGAAAACGGCATGCCGCGAATATATCAATTCGTCGACAGAATTAATAATTCGAGTGGATAAAGGGAAAGAGGAGTAGCGTGAAGAAGAAAAAAGAAGGAAGATTAGGAGCTGTGGAGTAGAACAAAAAAGACTGCATTAAAGAGGTGAGGAAAGCAAGAAGAAGGAAGAAGCTCGATTTCTACCTTCGCATTATGCCAAGGGGGGCAGTAAATAAGGGGGTCGCGTTCTCTTTCCCTCTCTTTGCTCTTCTCAACCGGGCGCAAACACGAGCGTTGCAGAATACACGGGCATTAGGTGGAGAGATCCGCGCAGATTCCGAGAATGCATATAATTAAGCACGGCGTTCTGGCATGGTGACGCTCCAGTGCAAGCCACACGTATCGACACACGAATGTAGCACGATTGTATGTACACAGAATGGCACACGCGTGAACTCGTGCGTGTAAAAATGTATGCAGTCAAGAACTATAGTCCAACTACACTGTATTCAACATCCTTGGCATCTTGCCTTCTCTTTTTCTCTCCTTCCACTATCCATACTAACCTTCCACTCTGGTGATCTATGCATCGACTTATACTGGCCGAACCAAGCAACTGCGTCTGTCTTTTGCTCTTGCTTACTTTATTATCGAGCTTTAAATGAAAATTTATGTAGACATAAGCGTTCGTGTCAGCAATACACAGTGTAGGTGGGGAGACACACAGATGACTGGGCATTTATTATTTTATATCATTCCAAATATTCCACATTTTTGCCATATTATCTTTAAATTTTTATTAAGTGCTACAAAAATTATCTGTAAGGACATACTACAACTTTTATTTTATTGTAACCATTTATTCAATAAATACATTAATAAAATAAATATTATACTGTCACTGTTAATGTTTCTATTGGACGGATAGTACATATTTTATATACTCTTTATATCAACTTTTTGATATTATTTTTTAAAAAAAATACTTGTATAAAAAAAAATTAAGTTATAAAAATATTCACATTTACAATTGTTCTAATATTTAAAAAAAATTTGTTAAAATTGTACAAATAAGTTCCTAATTCTTTCATGTTATAAAAATAATACTGTTACTTGAAAATTGTGTCAATGTAATAAACTAATTGTCAAATTTATTGAACGGTTTGTGGGATGCTAAAACAGCATTTATAATTTGAGAAATGTTTTTGTAGTTTCCATGAATAAATTGAGATGGAATTGAATATTTTAAACGCCAAATAGCATAATAACGTTCGGGTGACATAAATTTAATATTTGTTATGTTAAATTCATCCTTCAAGGCTTGCTTCCAAACCTAAAAAATAGGAATTTTAAAATGAAAAATTATATCAAAACAAGTAAAAATAAATAGCTATTAATAACTAATTATAACTATAATGTAACAATGTTTTACCTCGTGCTCAGGTATTGGTGTAGGAGCGAATTTATTACCATAGACACTTTGTATGTTATAAACATACAGATGGTAAAGCAAATAATTATTTGTATGGATTTTATCTGATTCGTTAATACTATAAGAAACAGATCTTGGAGAGCAACAAAAGCTACCAGTTGGGTATACAGCTCGCGTAAAATAATTTCCTAATTTTGCAACACTCCACAAAAGAGTTTGCAAAGGATATCCATGAAATGTACCACGTAATTTATAATCTCTTGTATCTGATGGATAAATATTTAATGCTGCTAAATGTTTGCCTAGATAATAATCCTCTTTTTTCCAATATTTTCCACCAGCACTACATTTTTCATGAGAATTAAACTGATCAATTATTTTTTTTAGAGCTCCTCTACTTAAAACATATCCTGCTTCAGCAACATTATAAATTTGTCCCCACCAAATGACTGGATGACCCAAATAATAATCTTTATTGTGATCTAAGTGTGCTACTAGATATCTTAAATTTTCTGGCAACACCATCATATTATCTCTAATAAAAATAGTCCACTGTAATGATCCATTTGATGATTTCCAAATATAGTGCATTGTTTCACACAGCATTTGCCATGATGATGTAATGTTCACTGGTAATTTTATAATAGGTATATTATGATCCTCATGTTTATGGCCAAAAAAATAAATATTATTGCATCTTTTACTCCATGTATCTTCAATTGCCTGAGCTAATTTTACTTCTTTAACAAATACAACACATAAAACATCAACTTTAGTTTTCAACCAATCTGATTCTCGAAGTGTAAATGTTTTGTTATCATCGTCCAGTTGATAATTTTCAAAATCTAAATCAATAGGTGAAACAACCATGTTACTGTCTTGCAACAATTTCTCATATTGGATCTGTTGATGATGTGTTGACAGTGCTGGTGTAGGATAATCACTTTTTTTCTTCTCACTTGAAAATTTGATTCCTCGAGCTATCCATTTGTCTTTAATTGAAGCAGATAAATATCCACTATCATCTAATTTTGATGATTTCTTTTTACATCCCGCAAAATTGAAATCATTGCTAATTAAAGCTAATAATATAGCACCACTAAATCCAATAAAGAATCCTATTGAAAATACTAGTTTTCCTTTTATTGAGCGAAGATGCATTTCGAAAAAATAATAATCCTTCAATGCTTCTGAACATGTTACTTTTGAGTTATAGCATTTGATAACACTGTCAAATGAAATATATTATCATTAAATACACGTGAAATTGTTGTGATATTACATTCGTATATTACAATGATTATTGATTATTATTGAAATATTTACATTTATTGTAAAATAAAACAATTTTTTTAAATATAATATAGATATAACATGTATGCAATATTGTAATTATCGATAAAATTCTACAATCGATTTACAACTATGTAAGATTTATTCGATACTAATCAATAATCAATGGATAAATTTCAATTTTCAAGACAATATTTAGCTTATATTAAAATATGAGCATATTTTATTTGTATGACTTGGACAAGTAGTGTTCATTCACAAATGTTAAATATATAAATAGATTAAAAAAAAAACAAAGCAATTACTATTTACCGTTTTCAGGTTATATTTTACAGCTGTCTAAAAAAACAAACTTTTACTGATTATTGGATAAATAAAAGTATATTTTTTTTATTAACAATAAACTAAAAAATATTAAACAATAAGAATATATTAAAGTGAAATTTTTTAATGGTTTGAACTAACAAATTTTATTGAATGGCTAATAAAGTAACCAAATGTAACAAATAATCGATAAAACAGAAATTTCACGTTCAACTTTATCGAGTGTTCACTTTTTGAATAGAACGAAGCAATTTTTTACGTTTAGTATAATGTTAATTTTTAAATAAACATATGTGAGTAATTAAATGAAAACAAGTAAAAGTAATTTATACAAATTTCATACTTATCTGTTTTGTATCATTTCAGAAATATCAATTGCTTAAAATAAGAATACAAGTGTTAATTTTCATCAATAATTTTTATTGAGGTTAGAGCAGAATATGTGAAAGCAAATTTATAATTGCGTTTTACTGTGAAAATACAAATATTCGATATTTTGTATAGTTATTTCTTACAAATATAGAAATCTATAATTAATATACTATAAATATATTATTTGGAAAGAATGCTGCAAAATTGAAATAAAAATGGAGATTTCTGAAAATGACATTACATTAAACGATAATACTAACAATATTACATTAACTCAAGATTACAAAAACGTAAATATAATTGATGATGGTCTGTCACCTAATGAAATGGAAACAGTAAAAAATTCAGATGATCAAAAACAGCTTGAAAATGTTAATTATAAGAATGATACCGACTGTAATAAACCTAATGAAACAACTGAAACGATACTTCAAGAAGTTACAAACGAAACTGAACCTGTAGAAAAACGATATAAGACTTCATCTGGTAATACTTTTAATAATTCTACAACAGGCAATGATGACGTTAATGTTTCTAATACTGAACAAAATGGTCAATCTTGTTCAGGTGATGTTTTTAATCCAACAGGTATTTTTTAATTCTGTTGTAGATAAGGAATCATAGTTTAAATACTAAAACAAAACTTTAAATAATTAATATTTTAATTCCTACATAGATTCAAATGTAAATAATGATGAACCAAGTTGTAGTAATCAAGCATCATCTTTCAAACAAAAATCAAAATTTAAAACACGACTTTACAGAAAACGTTCAGAGAATAATGAAGATCGAGATGATGAATCTAAGAAGAAAGCAAGAGAGACAACATCAAATGAAGATTCTGGTGATGATTCTAACATTAGTCATAATTCAACAGCTGAAAATAATACAAGAAGACATAGTTCAGATCAAATTTCTGAATCAGATGATATGGATGGTATACTACCCATCGTTATGAAAGGTACTAACAATATATTATTTGTTAATTGTTTTACCATATTTTTATATAGTTCTATAGCATAAATATCTATCAATGTTTCAGTTGATGATGATTCTAGTGAATGGTCTGCTGATAATGATGATGATGATGATGATGGACGTAAAACTCCACAAGTGTTAAAAAATCCTATTCCCAAACCTAATTTATTTATTGTACCAGAATTAATGAGACGTGAATTTGGTTATAATCGATTTTTACATCGTAAATTTTATGGATCTTTACATGCTGTTCAACGTCTTGAATTGATGTATAAAATGGAGCAGCATGAAGTAAAAATTCACTTTATTTTTATCAGTTATTTTCTGAATAACAGCAAAATATTCAGAATATCTTTAAAAATATTTTCTATTGTTATTTAACTTAACTGTTATCATAAAAATAATTTATTTATAGGGATGTGTCAATGCTATTAATTTTAATGAAGATGGATCATTACTAGCAAGTGGTTCTGATGATTTAAAAGTAGTAGTTTGGGATTGGGCAGTTGGAAGAAAACGAGCCGTTTTAGACACTGGACATAGTCTTAATGTTTTTGAAACTAAATGGCTTTTTAACCATAATAAAGATTTGATAGCAACTTGTGCTCGTGACGGTCATGTAAGACTACTTGATACAAACACAAACGAACATAGAAAGCTCGCTAGTCATCGTGAAGAAGCTAGAAGACTAGCAGTTCATCCAAATGATCCTCACACAATTCTTTCGGTTGGTGATGATGGAAAAGTATTTACAATAGACATTCGAGATCCAAAACCCACACTGTGAGTCAATATTTGATTAATTATAATTCTCTAACGCTCAATGATCATTTGTTATAATACAAATTATTTTTATAGTCTTTTAAAAGTCCAAGAAAAATATCGTCATATTTCTCTTTATTCAATTCATATAAATCCACGTAATAGTGATGAATTTTGTACTGGAGGTTGTTCACGAACTGTAAAAATATTTGATAGACGAAGAGCTCTACCATCATTGAAAAAATTTACACCACAAAACTTGGCAAGTTCTTTCAATACATAAATACAAATAAAACTGATTTGTTTCTACTTTTATAATATATCTATTTTTAATTTCAGAAGAAAAATACTACTGTATACGTGACTTGTGCAGTATACAATTATAATGGAACCGAAATAATAGCATCTTACAATGATGATGATATATATTTATTTGATACTGCGACTCCACAGCTAACAACTGATTATGCTCATAAATATGAAGGACATCGTAATAATACTACAGTAAAGAGTGTTAATTTTTTTGGACCCAAAAGTGAATTTATTGTATCTGGATCAGACTGTAGTAATATTTTCTTTTGGGATAAAAATACTGAAGCAATTGTACAATGGATGCCAGGCGATGAACAGGGAGTGGTATGATTTTTTCAGTATTAATTTATTATTTTTCTAAATAATAGTGTTTATTAAATATTTATGTTGAATTTTTTATAAAATAATTATTTAACATTATCCTTAGAGTACTTATTACGTAATTATAAATTTTTTATAGGTAAATAGACTAGAACCTCACCCATACGTACCAATTTTAGCAACGAGTGGTTTAGATTCTGATGTAAAAATATGGGTTCCTTCTTGTGAGCATGAACCCAAAATGATTGGCGTAAATGAAGTACGTATTAGATATATTTTTTATTATTGAATAAAAATTGAAATTTATCAATTTATTAATAACATAACTTTTCAGTGTGTAAAAACCAATTTCAAAGACCGAAGTGATAAATTATCTTACATATTAAATCCATTTGATTCACCCTCACTTCCGTTGTTTTTGCGATTTATAAGTCAATACCAAACACCAAGTAACAGACTGAACAGAATAAGCCGGGTAAGTTATAAAAAAATTATTTAATATTTCAAATTTTTGAAATAATTTTTTGTTTTACTGTGTAGTCTCTCGCAGTAGAACGAAGGTTATCCCAGGTTGATGTTTTTGAAGTAGAATCAGATTCATCGAGTGTTTCTCGATCATCTAATAATGACAGTCAGTCAGATAGTGATGAGAGTGAAGGTCCTCAATGTACGACATCATGAACAATTTTGAAGCGAATGTTATAATATTGTAATGTTTTAATACGTCTTCTGTAGAAGTATTTATCCTTTAATTTTTCAATTTTCTATTCGATATATTGCCAAAAAAGCAGTGAACTTTTTTTAGAGAAAGTTTATACATAAAGTCATTACTATGACATTGATTTCAAATTTAATAAGTCTTGAAAAATGTTTATTTTAGTTGTATTATTTTCAAATATCAATGTAAAGATAGATTTTATAATTTTTCTTCAAAATTAAATTAAGTATTGTCGTTCTAATAGAGAACACAAAATATGAATTTAATTATTGTAATTATAAGAGGCTACCCATATACATATATATAGTAAAGACATTTTCTAATCAATTTAAGTATATTTGTTTTCATTGTAAACTAAAAAAGACGAAATAAAGGAATGTTCCCAATAAGATTCATATTTCTAATTTTCAAAACATTACAATTACAATAATTTTTTTTTTCATAAAATTATTATAAATTCATTTATTCAAAAAATGATCTATTTTTTCCCATAAATTAACAATAATTTTAAAATATTCCAATAGCTTGTGCAAGACCTACATAAATATGAAGAGTTACACTTCCAATGACAAGAGTTGTTACTGCTTTAATTAATAATGAAGACCACGGACCAGCAAGTAATAATGACATTAATAAATCTAAAATTAATGGCCTATAGATAGTCAAGAGAAGCATAAATACAACTAATGGAACAAAACTTTTTTTTAAATCATGTCGGGACCACAACCACACTAACGTCGAAGTAGTAATATGTTGAACTAACAGTATATTAGATTCAAGACTTTTTTGAATATATTTCCAATCAAATTCAGCTCCTCTTGCTCCAACCCATAACAAAAGAAATCTTGTTAAAAGAACTTCAGCTCCAGCCCAACCAATACCTGCTGTTAGAACTTTAGCATGCCCTTTACCAGGAATTCCATTCAATACAATTAACATTCCCACAAGATCGGCCAAATCTATTGAGTACTTTAAAAATTCCTGAAATTTATAAAAATGGTATAAATAGGTTTTTTCCTTTTTTTTCTTATATAATATTATCAGCTCTATATACATACCCCAAGAATATCAAATCCTTCTTGACCTGTATTATCAGATGTGGGAAAAAATGTTGCAAGTGCTAACATTTTAACAAGTTGAGTGAATATATAAATACCACCTGCTTGGATACATTTCCAAAATGCTCCATATTCAGAGCTACAATAAATTTAATGATAATTGAAAATTGACTGATAACTAGATAATAGTAGTAAAATCATTTTTACTTACAGTCCAGAGTATTTATAAGTTAAATAATATGGTACATAAACTAGTGCTACACAATTTCCGAAATGGTAAAGAGTCATTTTTTCTCATAAAGATATTGAATAATTAGATTTATATGGTATTTAAAAAATTATATCCTCTAACGTATAATTTAATGAAAAAGAACACTTGAGTTAGAATCCGGTACATTACCCGAATATCAAATAAAAACTCTTGGAAGAGGTTATATATTTACTATACGTTTTCTTATACGTAATTATGTATGTGTGAGTATATTTTGTAGCTAATCATGAAAAATACAAGTTGGTAGATTACTTACTGTCGGTAAAATAAAAAAAAATACCATACTGTTATCATTTTCAATTTAAAGATGGCATTCGTAATACTTTTCAGAGTTTTTATTTGAAATATTTTCATTTTAATTAAAAAATCGACTAATTATTTTCTGGAATCAAAGTTTAGATAAAATGATAATATCAAATTTCTGATATCTATGTTTTCAGATACTATCAAGCTATTCATAAATGTTATTTTATATTCAGAAACTTCGAGAAATTATACACCTTTATTCACTTGGCTATATTCGGAGGATTCAAGATATAAAGTCGAAAAGTGCATTATTATTTCACGTTCAGTTAGCAGTGTAATTTTGTTTTAATGATTATAACCATTATTTATCACTGCATATTTGAAATGTTCGAAATGATATACTCATTAGATGATGATACACATGATATGATCACGTCACTACAAGATAATGTCATACAAAATATATTTCTAGATAATACGATGTTATTAAGTCACTAATCTTATTATTTATTTGTACGTAGGGTCATTGATATGACGTATAAGTAAGGTCACGTGTATGGGGGTAAGGCACTGTTAATTATTCTCATTGGTCATGTTAAATATCGCACCATCCATATATTCATTATTTATGTCCTGATTTTGATAGCTTATCTTATAAATATAAAAATGATATTTAAATATAGTGAATAAAAGTTGATACTACTCAAATTATTTAAATTTTAAAAGATAAATATTCCTATTGGCTTGTAATTATTTTTCCAAGTTTTATTTGTAATAGGAATCATTATTCCTCATGTAATTAATAGACTCAATTTTGCATTCTCTGGATAATATTTACACATATATAATGAATAATCAAATCCTGATTGGTAAAAATTAAAATTTAAATAAGATAAGAAATTGATAATAAGAATTGGACGAATAATATCTGCGATGATGGGGTTGAATAAGGTTAAATAAGATTTGAGAACTCATTTTTGGCCTTACTATTAATGATAACAATATGTTTAGCTTTTTCACTTTTTTTTTTTTCGTTAAACGAGCAATAATATTTCCCTTGTCATGTAGTGTGTATTTTTAAATTTTCCCCTTAATTAATTACATTTATCGAGATGTAGAGTCACATTAAATTGTATTAATAATTACAAAAAATTCTTAAACTTTTCCAATAACAATAATTATCTTCACAATGCAAAACATGTTTTCGTTTCATAGATAATTGAAGAAAATTTACAATGTTGTGATACATTCTGATAAACAATAAGTAACGTTATCATATTTATATATATACCAAATTAAATTTTTAGTCCAGCCAAAATGCTTTGAAAATAGTGAAAATTTGAAGTTCTTTTGGTAGAAAGAAAATTAGCGTTGATTAAATGCCATAAATACGGAAACTTAAAAGTTAAAAATTTATTATTTATAGTAAATTGAAATGAGTTATTGGTAGTTCCTTTTTTAATAACCTCATTAGAATAATTAAGTCTTGAGTTCTATTTTTTATTAAACATTCCTATAAATTCCACTTGAATTATTGATATTATTACAATTTAATAAATTTAAATATTTCGTTTACAAACATGTATAAATAAAATTGAATGTTAATTTTTTTACAGCAAACCATCTGGTCGATTTGCAGCAGGTGTCATTGATGTTGCATTTCTTTTACTCTCTAATTGATTTTCCAATTTATTTGGGACAAATTTTGCTTGTAATGTCTTGAATGCACTGATTGAAGATCATTTTATAATTACAGTTGCTTAATTCGAAATCAAAGTAAAATCTGATTTTATCAATGAAGGCATAAAAACAGGTTTAAAAAAGTAAGATTGGCAATGTTTACGATGTTATTAAATTGAATCGTTATTTTCATTTGAATATACACCAGGTGAAGAGGACTCTAATTATAAGCCTCAATATCAGATCATTTGTTCAAAAATGAAAGCACAGTAATCACGTCATTTTTATTTTTTAATAACATCTTTGCATTCTTTCAGTTGACATACATTTTATTTCGAAATATTTTTTGCTGATTTCAGGTGGTAATTAATTATCAAAATAAAATGATTACACATCAATTCACATACATGGTTTAATTACTACATACTCTACACATACATACAATGTTTATAAAAAACTAACGCTTTTTATTATAATCTACATTTACTTAAACTCTATTTTAGTATTTATAAAGAAAGAAAAATAATTCTAAGAATTTAGATTTTATTGTTATAAAAATTTCTAATTAAATTTTTTTGTTTCAACATATTTGTGATAAGACCGAATTAACCAATTATTGATAGGAAAAATGAAAATTAACAAATAAAAACATATTTTGCAAGAATTTATTAAGACCCCCTGTGATGAATGTCACTGATTCGATGTTGCATCAGAATTTGCACAGTTTTAAATCAAATAACACTTTAGGGTTATCAATAATTTTTATATTAATTTTAATGACGCAGTAACATTAATATTGTGATATGTAGCTGCTAAAAAAGATTTTTTTCAACTCTTTAATATAAAATACATCATATCAGATTTGTTACAGTAATTAAATCAAATTATCAACATTTTATTGAAAAGCTTCAATCAACCACAATTTCTTTTTTATTATCAATCATCTAATGATTATTACCCTCATATTATACTTGAAGTTTAAATATGAAGTATCGTTACAAAATATAATAGACAGTTTTAACTTCATGATAAGACTTTTTCAATTAATAATTGCATTTTTAAATGTTTTGCATGAAGAGAGATCTTAACCTATAACCTCTTCAACGATTCCATTCACATGTAACATTAGCATTCTTTTCATCCATAATCTCTTGGTGACTACCCCAAGCAAAGAGGTCATCGCTGACGACTGATTGATCTTACCATGAGTAAACATACCCATGAGATGTATGCGATTTGTTACATCATCTACTTTACACACATTAAATCATATTAATCTTTTATACTTTTAGTTTTTATTTGTCAATTGTCAAATAATAATTATATTAAATAGACAAATAAATTATTTAAAATTTCATGATGTTTAAATAAATCTTATGGATTATTAATAAATAATTACTTTCATAGTTATATCTTGACAACTCTATCTTCATTAATGTGGAAAAGGCCAAACACGTGTCATTGAGAAAAGTATATTAATAATTATTATCAAATGTTATCACATTGTGAACCTCTAACCAGCTAATGATATTTTATTTAAACATTTCATCAGGACTAGAATAAAATATTCCATACCAAATATTTCCATTATTTTATCATCCGTTGATTAAACTGCTTCCCTCTTAATAATATTATATTTAACTTTGATAATAATCACATTATTTTTTATTGTAGTATACAAATAACAATAAAGACAGTAATTAGTCTTAATTTAAAATGAATTAATTTAAAAATTATGACGTGATGATTATCAATCAGTAAAATATTTAAATTCGATTTTTAATAGATATCAATTGACGTCTCTCATCTACCTATTTTATGTATACATACTGACTGATGCTCTTATTCAGTCCTGTTGCCTAAACAGACCGTTGTCATAGTGCATTCGCTAATATTAGCGTTGCAACATGGTCACCGCGTGCTGAACTTATTCCTGGCACAAACGAGCTGCTTAGTTCGCCAGAGTCAAGGTCAGGGTATAATAAACCGACCAGATATTTTGTTTTGATATAAATTTTCCTCATTAATTGTAAAAAATACAACACAGGGGAAAAAAATTGATTTAAAAAGATAACTTTTTCATATCATTTCAATAAATAAAATTATCTTTGTTTTATTTTCAAGCTTAATTTATCGAATTGTAATTATTATTCAATTTAATTCGTAATAATAATCTCATGTATCTAGACATTTATATTATTTATATGTTATATTATAAAGACCTTTGTGTGTGTATTTACGATAAACAAAATTGGTTTGAAAAATATTTCGATGATTGGCAAAATATTTAGTAACATACAGAATATTATTATTAAATTTTTCTAGTACAAACTCATACGTGTCACTTTTTCTTTCAAACATGTGTAATTACTAAGTTGATTAGTTCGATGAAGCATGATAATTTTCCGACCTAAATGATAAACAACTTTTACCGAACTGATTATTACTCATCAAAATGGTAATTTACGAGTTAAAGCTAACAAGTTTTGATTTTTCATGCCGATCGGTACAGATAAAAAATAATAGAATTATGAGTAAATGTTAGATAAAATTATAAGGGGTATTATCGGTGGTAAGGGATTACTTAATCGAAAGTGAGCAGTCTGTACTGACGCCAGGCTCCGCTGAGTAACTAGGTCGAGATTGTGTACGCCAGGAGGTTGCTTGTTGCTTTCTTGCTTACCTCGGCTTTTTGCTCCATCTTTACGTTAACTTCCTGCCGATCTCTATTCTATACAGCATTACAATTTAATACCAATTTATATGTAACATAATCCATTTTTTTTAACTAAAATAAACTGCGAATTTTATGATAATAATTGTCAGTTTTAAAGTGATAGTTTTGAATTTAATTAATCACAATAATTATGCTGTAAGTGTGATATCAAGATTAATCCAACAACTGTCTTTTTTTTATTTTTATAATAACCTTTCTATCAGAGATACTATCAGTCTTTGGTTTTGCTACTGCTTACTTATATTATTTCTTGTACAAACTCTAGTATTGCATTTTAAACACATGTATTTTTAATCTGAATCTTCTTGTAATTTATAAACTTAGAAAAAAATTAACTCTGAACAAGTAATATTTTTTTCAATTAATAAAAAGGAGCTGCTAATTTCTCAAGCTAATTTTTTAAATTTTTAATTACTTTTCTATTTTAGAAAAATCTTAAAAAAACTCAAATATCAAAATTTTTCCAAATTCAATAAAATATTGAATTGTAAACAGTTTTCTTGGAAAAGAAAAAAA